TTAAAAGAAGTGTGTGGTGTATACTGTGGTAGTTATAATGAATAGTGAATCAGTTGCGAATTTGATCGCAAAAATGCCGCGAAATTGTAGTGCTTCGCGTAAACTCTGCAACACAGTAAAATTTCAAATGATGGAGAACCCTGAGATATCTTTTTGACTCACAATATGTTTAAATAAAGCGCGTCTGTTATTGATAGACAAACTAGTATTGTTGGATGATATCGCCATTATGAACAGTGAAAGGTGGTGTTTTAGTTGAAATTTAGATGGATGTTATAATGAGAATGCAAACATTTAAAAGTTTAATTATGTGAAAGAAAGAAAAATGTCATATCAAGCGATTTGCAAATTCTTTTTAAGGAATGGATGAAAATTCTCTTAATTATCAATGGCGTGTCGAAAATAAAGAGCGAAACACGCTCTCGGAAATGTTAGTGTTTAAGTAGGGTAAAAATGAATGAAAATCAATCTTCAAATCCATGGATACGTAGTCTTGTAGAACGTCAATTACTTGTATTTTGCCATTTTCGTATACTGAACGAGGAAGTTTTCTATTTTTTATTTTCTGAAAAATATTAGACCTAGATCAAGAATTAATTTAACAATTTGCTTTTCGATTACTGTTTAATTGAGAAATAAACAACAATGTTAAGGAGTTCTCTAGGAAATGAACTTGGTTCGTCACGTGATCAATCCTGTGAAACTTAGTAGATTTGATCAGGTACCAACCACGTTCATTTAACCTTTCAACATTGTTGTTTATTACTACATTATTCCTTCTTTTTTTTTTACCAACTATCATTGATGTCCCTGGCATACTCTACTAGATAGACAGTGATTCCTTTTATTTCCATTACATGGTGAAATAAACTTGTAAATTTAGATTTTAAAAATGTCCACTAATAAATTTAAATTAACATGTCAATTTCAATAGTCCCCGTCCACTGACGTCAAAAACAAAGACATCCGCATGCGATTTACATGCATATTTGGCCTCCTTGGAGTCTACACTAAAACAATCGAAATGGAAATATAAGGATTTGAATACTATACCTAAAACAATTGGTCAAATTTTGATGTTCGATCAAAGCATGAACACTGTCCGTTAATAATTGGGAATTTTCGAAATCTGAAGGTAATAACTTTCGCCAAAAACGGGAGAAAATCTATGAATCAAACTTGAACTGCAATTTATCAATTTTATGAAAAAGATTAAATAAAAATATATTCAAGTTCAAGCTTGAAGATGAAACATTGAATAATAAGAACTGTTCAAATACATTCAGTGTGATCGATTAGTCAACAATATATATGGACTTAAGAAAAAAACCCAACCAGTTAATTATTTTCAACCACAGTAAAATATCTCATAATTTTGAAGCACAGCGTAACAGTTTACAATATAAACTAAGTCGAAATGAGGAGAAAAGAGTTGATACAATATGTCTAAATCATTTCATGACAAGCGCAATTATAATTAGAACGCGGTTAGCCGAAGGGGAAGATATATTTCAAAATAAATACCTAAAATTATACCTTTTGAGTTAATATTCATTAAATCTGAGAAGCATTTTTGTCCCGTCTGATTTCCATAAATGTAAAGGTAAAAAAAATGTAACAATAAGATAATTTGAAAAAAGCAAATCAAAAGACAAAAGGTCAAAATTAACGGTGCACAAGGAAAAATCTTGTCACAAGAAATACAAATGTGAAATTTGAAAGCCACAGCACTAATCATTCAAAAGTTATGGACAAGATTGAATAAGTCAAATTCCAAGGTAATGAATAAAAGGTCAGAACTGTTGTTACATCAGGCAATGTCCTGTCATAAGAAATAAACGTGTGAAATTCGAAAGTCCTCGCGCCAACTGATTGAAAGTTATGACCAAGGTAAACGTTTTTCAATTTAGGTCAAACTCTTAGATCAAGGTCAGAGTATCAAAATTGTTAGTACCAAATGGATTGTCCTCCACCCGTGAAATATGAAATCCCTTGTATTAATTGTTCAAAAATTATCGCCAAGGTTAATTTATTTTCAAGTGTGTCAAACAACAAGGTCAACATCAAATCAAAGATCAAAAGATTGAAATATTTATACTCAGAAAAGTTCTTCTACGAAGAATAGAGATATGAAGCATGAAAACACTGGCACCAACTGTTCAAATATTATGACCAATGTTATAATACGATAAAAGTTTGCAAAGGTGTGTCCAAGTCCAAAGTCAAAATAACAATTAGGTTTGTAGATAAAGATTTTTTTTACACAGAATACATGTAAAATATAAAGCCATAGCTACAAACAAACAAAAGTTATCGGCAAGTTTAAAGTGTTTGAGGACAAATGGACAAACGGACAGAGAGACAGGGCAAATCCATATGCAACCAAATCTTCTATATAAGATATCTCAATTATAGGAAATTATTAATTATCAGAAATCGATACTGTAGAAATCCTAAACGACAAATCTATTTTTGTTATTCTTCTAATGATGAAACTTACAGGTAAGGGGACATTACATTGTGCAATGTCAATAAGTGGTTTGGGAAGACTGTCTCCATGTGGTAAAAGATAAAAAGTTAAGAATACATGCATCAGCAAGCATTTTGTGTTCTGTTCCTGCATATCATCTCCTGGTCGAATTTTTATGTAATCTGCAATCTTGTTGTTTGATATGTTTTTTAGCAGCTCCTACAAAATAATAAAAAAGAAATTCTGAATTCATTAAGAAAATATTCTTATTTTAAAATTCTTTATATTAGACAATTGATAGAGACATCTATCTTTTTATCTATTTAGGACGTAAAAAGAAATAATTAAATATTCATTCAATTAGGCGATATGTTTTACTGTGGGTCAAGGATTTCACTATTCTTTTTTTCAAAATATAATAAAATGATAACTATGATGGACGTATGTCACAGTTTGTGGTCAAATTTCTTTGTTTTTACATAAGAATTCAAAACGTAGAGCTGTATATAAATTGCAATGCTAGACTTTTTTTTATGTGTTTTTTTTATTAATTCATTGTTGTCCAAATCATTTTTGTTTATTATTTTGCTCATTGTATGTTTATACTACAGAAATATATGTGTTGTTTAAAACGTTCGCAAATAACAAATTTCACTGTTTTAACGCATAAACATGTACTACATGTATATATAACATTTTCCTTTAATGTATATCACAATTCATTTTGCAGGATTTTGAATGGAATTAAAGAAAATATTGGTGTTTTATCGCAAAGATGTTCAATGCTTAGAAACAAAATCAATAATTGTATCAAATTGCATGCTGGCGGAAAAATACACTAACAGTAAATTTTTAAAAAAAAATGTCACTCATTTTGTCAACTTTTCTGTTAAAAAATTTACATCACCGTTTATTAATCCAAGTTTATCGATCTTACAATATTGTCTTATCCTTCTTTTTCAAATGCACAGTCTTGTCTATTCTAGCTTCCAAACTTCCAAGTACCTATAAAAATGAAAAATGCAGGTAATTTCCTGGGGTTTCATCTATGTTTTTATCATCACCCAAAACCTCTAAAGTCCTTCACATGTAGCAATATTTCTTTTATATTTACCATCCTTGAACAAATATTTAAGAGAACTAATCCAGAATTGTTCATTCTTTTTTTTTTTTTGGAAAGAAATCATGCAGGATAAATAAAAACGAAGTTACTGATTTTATTAATTATTCAATAATGAAATCCCTCACTGTGTAAATAATTGACTATTATATCTTTTCATATAAAAAATCTTTAACAGTTATTCAAGTAATATAAGTACAGTACAGCAATTAATATTAATACAATTGATCTTTCCTGCAGTTCTATAATTATACTAATAGTTCTACCAAGTGAAAATAAACATGATTTTTGATTAATTATTTCATAAAAGTTTAATTAATACATCAGTATCGTTTTTATTGTTGTGCTACCAAAGTTTAATTAATACATCAGTATCGTTTTTATTGTTGTGCTACCAATTGTTGTATATGCCCATACAAATATGACATCGAAGTATCTCAGCATTTAAAGATTAAACTATTAAATTTATTTATGGATCTCTGAACATATTTATCACGTTAGCCTTTGGTTCCGGTCATAAAATCAGCAAAGCAAACTCCAACGCAGCTATTCAGAAGTATGCCTTACCTGTTCAGATAGACTTCCAATCGAATCTGAATGCAGATGTGAAAATGTTACTAGTCTGTATAAAGAAAGTCCAAAACAAATAAAATCAGTCGCATTATGTACCTGAAAAAAAGAAAAAAGAATATCAAAATTGTGATTAATAATCTTACAAGCTGAAAGTAAAAGTATATATATGATAGATTAATTATAGACTAAATTTTGTGTTTTAATATCAGTTAATTGGGAGAAAACAGTTTAATTTGCCATAAAAGCATAAACATTGTTCTAAATTGCATTTTTTCAAATCGGATTTTTTCTATTAGGCCTAGGATTAATTGATTAGTTGTCAAACAAAATGACTCTAAAATATGAACATGAAATACTTCAGCTGCAATCTTGTTGTCAGATAAGTCGGGCTAATACATAGTCGAACTGTCATAAAAGAGAGCCATATAATAAGGTCAAACACAAGTTTTATTATGATAAAATTAAGATCACAAAATATTTTCTATAAGCGCTTTTTCTACATGCATGATTGGGTTCTTCATTTTGGTTTTGAAATTATGTATATTTTGTTTTCTGTTCAATCTTGTCAATTTCTTTCAGAGCTTTGAAAAGATGCCGTTTCTTCCTTTGAATTTTGTTTAAAACATATTTCTTCTTGTTTCCTACGCTCTTAAGGATTTTTTTCCATCGAAATATTTCTGATATATCTTTAATTCAGCTTAAGCACTAAACAAACAATCAACCAATCTTGAGGAATTTCAGAATTTCAACATTGTTCGTTTTACTTCAAACCATGAATGGTACAAACAAAGAATGGTATAAAGATTCCTACAAGATAAATAACGACGGACAGGAAGAAAGGAAAATGGAAACTGAGAAAATGTTTCTCTGTGTGCTGTTAAATGTTTTATGATATCGTGAATAAATCGTAGATGTGACTTACATCTAGTAACTTGCTGACATTCTCCAAGGTTTTCTTTTCACTCTGATCAGGCATAAGGTCTGCTTTGCAGGGCTTCCTTTATATCTTGTACTTTGTCACAGTCACAATATAACAATCAGGGGTGTTTCTTTCCTACGAGTATGATACTTTATATCAGAATTCAAAATACCGAACCAATGCGTGAAAAGCTCTTACGACTTTAATGATAATTTCAAAACTACTTGTTCATAATGCTCTCCAGCTCAAACCATATGATTTTTTTTTCTCAAAATATCATACAGATTTAGTACTTTTTTAATATAAAATATCTTCTGATTAACATTGGAATGTTGCAAAAATACATTTTTTTCTTAGTAGTATTTGTTAGGCATGTAAAAAGAAACTACACATCATATATTTACCCTTTTTATACCAACATCTAGCCAGGAAAGGGGAAGCTGGGATGCCTTTAATTTACTTTTTGTTACAATGTCATGAAACGCCGACTCACCATGTGTTTTACATAGCTCCTGAACAAAAAAGTATCTACAAAAGAGCAAAGAATATGAATACTGCTTTGTTTCAAAAGAATTTGGAGAAATAAAGAAAGATAATACAGATATCGCTTATCCCTCAATGGGTATGGTGGTTCTTATTTCTACAATCAAATTTCTAACTCAGAATCTCACTAGAAAACTCAAAATATTTCCATATGATTAAAAAATTCTCAAGAGGCACGTTAAACAACATACAATCAAAATTCTAAAATATCTTTTTAAAATATATTTTAAAGAGGTTAAATACCCCGGTAACAGAATTTTTTTAAAAATAAAATAATTATATATGATAATTTAACATGGCATCAACGGGATAAAGTTGAATACTACTAATTCATTCGAAAGAACCAGATGATAATTAAAAAAAAAAAAAAAAAGAAAAATTAAACAAAACACACACACACACACACACCCTCACACACTAACAAATGCTTTCCCTTTCTCTAAAAAAATATTCCTAAACATATTTCCACAGTTGTACAAATTCTCTAGGTCTCATCCATTGGGCAAAAATTGAATAAAGGTTATTAGATATAAATATATTTAACTCGGAATCAAAGGATTTATTACAAGTACCTTATGTTTTGATCCCTATCCTCTTTGTTACAGACATCTTTAATTGCTCTCAATAGTGAATCAATTTCTCTAGCAGAAACTACTTCTTCAACCATGCATCTGTATACATATTTGCTAGCTATTTGTATCGCCCAGCGAACTTCTGCGACACGAGAAAGCGATTTGAATGACAACTGTTCATTAAATAAACCAGTAGCAGACTGTACAAATTTCTCCGCTTCCGAAATTTCATCTTTAGTTGTTTTCAAGTCTTTCAGAAAATGGTATACAGTTGTTTCCTATAGATAAATGTTATTTCAAAATGTAGAGTCAAGAAAAATATTTCAATAAATGAAGAAATCTTTTCGTCGAGTATATCTTATTTCATCTTTCTCAGATTAAGGTGTAAAATTTACATAATAGAGTGTAGAAATTAGAGAAGAAAAAATGTCAAAAATGACAAAAAAACCGCTTCTGTATCGTAGTGATATATGCAAATAATTCCAAAAAATGACAATTTCACTTCATCACATATAGAGACAAAATAATAATTACACGATATAGGTATTTAATATGAAAAAAGTAACAATTTCGCAGCTATTGAAAGGCAATTTTATTTAAATGAAAATGGTAACCTCTATGCAATGTATGAACATTTGACACGTTTTGACGAGAGTTTCATTGGTTCTGCATGCTCCTCTGGTGTCCCTCATAAACTTTTCTATGTGTTCATTTACGGAATTGTCTCTGTTTAGAAATACAAATATATGTATCAATGTCTGTGAAGAAAAATTCAACGATCAACATTAGCTAAGAAAAATGGAAAATACTTTTATTGTAAATTCATAGTATTCGGCATCTTTGCACAGCTGACAAGATTACAAACTTACCGTCTGATTAAAAAAGAGTGCACGTTTCAAAAGCAAATTGAAATTCATAATATTCAATACAACAGAACAAATCAATAAATCTCCACCTTGTCCGTAGTAAAAGCTGGAGAAGAAATGATCTTGTAACTGGAGTGGTGCATGTATCATAAGGTCTTTTCACTGCGCTTCTTAGTCTCAGTCTATTTCTGCTGACAACTGCGTCACCTTTTACGCTTGTCTTGTTCTCCTCCGAAATAACAAACTCAAGCAATGTATGAATTGCGTCCTCATTAGGTAAATTGTCGTTTTCAAACGTCATATTAGACAAGATTCCCATGAAAAATTGGTCACAAACGGTATATAAAGATTGCCTGAAAGTAGCGAATAATTTACAAACAAGAGGCCCATGGGGCTTAAAGGTCACCTGAGCATAATGCAACAACTTTCATGGGACCTTGAAATTCACCAATCTGGAAGAAGGGCCCTTGCTCATCATAGATATATAGATTGTTCATCTGCTAATACCCATGAGCAAAGAAGAACATTTGCTAAGATTTAATGTATTCTCACTATATAATCAATAGAGCCCCGCCCTAACACCCTTGACCCTGGGGCCATATAATTCATAATTTTGGAAGAGGCATTCTTGCTCATCAAAAATATGTACTTAGTTAGTTTATTTAATACTCAGGAGCATAGAAGAAGATTTTCAAAGAATTAATTTATTTTAAGTATATTCTAGTAATCAAAAGATCCCCGCCCTAACACCAGAAAAACCCCTTACCCTAGTGCCATAAAATTCACAATTTTGGAAGAGGCATTCTTGCTCATCATAACTATGTACTTAGTTAGTCTATTTAATACCCAGAAGCAAATAAGATTTTCAAAGAAATAATGTATTTTCACTATATAATCAATAGAGCCCCATCCCCCTAACACTGGAACCCCTGACCCTCGGGCCATAAAATTAACAAATTTGGAAGAGGCATTCTTGCTCATCATAACTATGTACTTACTTAATTTATTTAATTCTCAGCAGCACCGAAGAAGATTTCAAAGAATTAATGCATTTTCACTATATAATTAATAGAGCCCTACCCCCTAACACCAGAACCCCTGACACTGGGGCCATAAAATTCACAATTTTGGAAGAGGCACTCTTGCTCATCATAAATATGTAATTAGTTAGTTTCTTTAATACCCAGGAGCAGAGAAGAAGATTTTTAAAGAAGATATGCATTTTCACTATATAAACTAAATAACCCCACCCTAGCACTAGAACCCCTAACCCTGGGGCCATGAATTTTAAAATTTTGGTAGAGGACTCATTGCTTATTACATTCATGCCAACAATTTGGACGTTCAGATGTCCAGGAATAAAGAAAAATATTTTTAGATATTGCAATAAATTTAGTGGTTTTGGCCCCACCCCTCAGGTCTTAGGGGGACAGAGAACATAAAATTAAAGAAATTTTGCTCCCCTTTACCCATAGATGCTTTATACCAAATTTGATTGAAATTGGTTCTGTGGTTTCAGACGGCTAAAAATGTTCAAGTGTTAACACACGACACACGACGGATGAAAAGGATAGCAATCAGTCACCTGAGTGACTCAGTTTAACTAATAAAATGAATCTATAATTAAGACAAATAAGAATTTAAAGATTTATGTATACTGATGTTTAAATTAACAAAGCATCTCACAAGAATTACAGATGTGAAATATAAAATCCTAGTACCACCTGTTCAAAAGTTATATCCAAGGTTAAAGTTTTTTTTAAAGGTAGGTCAAACTCTAGGGTCATGGTCACAGGGTAAAGGTTGTTGTTTTCTATAGAAAGACCTTGTCATAAAGATAACATATGGTAAGTATGAAAACCCTAGCCATACCGTTCAAAAATTATTGCCAAGGTTAAAGTTTTCAAAAAATAATCCAAATTCAAGTTCTAAGGGTAAAAGTTGTTGACATCCATTGAACCATCACAAGAATTACATATGTGAAGTATGAAAGCCTTAGCTCTTACCGTTCAAAAGTTATGGGCAATGTTTAACTTTTTGCGGAGAAACAAACAGCTAGACAGACAGGGCAAAAACTATATACCCAAGAAACTTCGTTTAAGGAGGCATAAAAACATCGTTTTTTTAATAAACATAATAAAATCTGCGATTTTAACTTAAACTTTTGGCTGTATGTCTTGCAATCATTACATTCTTTGACATTTCAGTAGCTAATATTGAAGGATTACTTGTATATATTGCCAATTCGATATACCTTTCAAAATTTGCTATATGGATGAAACAATTTAACAAATGGTCAATGGACCACATCGCTCACCTGAGCAACATTGGTGATGGCGTTCTTTACCAGATTTCCCCCCTTGTGATACCTAGTGTGGCCTCGTTTTACCCCTGACCCCCAGGTCACAATTTAAATAATTAGAATCTACACTACCCCAAGATGCTTCCACATACAATTCAGCTTTTCTGGTCCAGTGGTTCTTGAGAAGATTTTTAAAGTATTTTCCTATATATTTCTATGTAAAAATTGGATTCCCTATTGTGGCCCCGCACAACCCCCAGGGATCATGATTTGAACAATTTAGAATCTACATTACCCCAGCATGCGTCCATCATAAGTTTCAGCTTTTCTAGCCCAGTGGTTCTTGAGAAGAAGATTTTTAAATTTTTTCCTATATATTTCTATTAAAACTTGGATTCCCTATTGTGGCCCCGCCCAACCCCCATGAAGGGTCATGATGTTAGCAATTTAGAATCTACACTACCCCAGGATGTTTCCTCATAGGTTTCAGCTTTTCTGGCCCATTGGTTCTTGAGAAGATGATTTTTAAAGTTTTTTCCTATATATTTCTGTGTAAAACTTTGATTCCCTATTGTGGCCCCGCCCACCCCTCGGGGTGATGATTTTAACAATTTAGAATCTACACTACCCCAGGATGCTTCCACATAAGTTTCAGCTTTTCTGGCCCAGTGGTTCTTGAGAAGAAGATTTTTTATGACCCAACCCCATTTTTATATTTTCTTTATCACCCCCCTTATGAGGGGTCTTGGCCCTTCATTTTAACAATTTAAACTCCCCTTTACCTATGGATGTTTGGTTAAAATTGGCGCAGTGGTTTTTGAGAAGTCAAAAATGTGAAAAGTTAACAGACGGACGGACGGACAGACAGGCAGCTAGACAGACAGACAGACAGACAGACAGCTAGACGGACAACGGACAAAATATGATCAGAAAAGCTCACTTGAGCCTTCGGTTCAGGTGAGATAATAATACAGCAAAGTAAATATATACAAAGGTACTCAGATCGTTGTTACTACCGGATACATACGTACGTACTCAAGTATTAAATCTAATTTGTAAAGCTTCTGCATATGAAAAATATAAATGGAGTGCACCAATGCTTTACTGTGTAAATTTCTTCGTGTTAACAGTTTAATTATTTTCATTAAATACTTATATACAGCTCAACACATTTTTTAAACTCACATGGTTTTTCCCACAAATTAAGGTCACATTGTTATAATGCAAACTTGTGTAACGTGACAAAATATTTCAAAAATGAGTTATAACTTAATTTTGATCATATTCCATAACTTTAAACATAATTCACACATAATATATAATTGGTATAGGATTTCTATATGCTCTTGGATGATATATTATGAGAGTTTCCAAGTGGTTTTTTTCATGATTTCTCGTCAAATGCAACCGTCTTTGTTTCCGTTCATTTTAAAGCATACTTTTGCCTTGCCTTCATACAGAAACAGTGCAGTTCATGTAACTTCTGTATTTTCTGTACATTAATATGATATTAAGGCGTAAGATGATAGAATTTCTCATCAATTCGATTGTTTTCCATGTTAAAAAAGATGGCATTTTTTCAGGTTAACTTCCTGAAATCTAGCATAATGAAAAATACCATCCAATGCAAAATTTCAAAGTTTCAGACCATAAAAGTAAAAGAATTTTCTTTTCAATATTTACAATTTACTATGTTGAAAGATAAAAAGTACTTTATTATCCTATCCTTTCACATGATTTCTTTTTGCAGTTTTGTTATTTATCGGCGCTGCATTTCGACGAAACCAAGACAAGTATGGAAAATATGCAAAGTACGTTGAAAAATACACATCTGTAAGAAGTCAATTTGAAATTTCACCCGAATAGTATCAAATAAAGTTCGATTAATTAATTTGTAAATACCTATAATAGAATCATACACATTTAACATCATACAAATTATCAAAAATTCTCTTTTGGAACATTAACTTTTAAAACTTGAAATAATGATTTTAGAGAATATGCACCTTTAACATGAATATAAGGGTTATATCTCTTACCGATACTCGATAATTTTAAGTTTTATTGCAAGAAAATGGCTTTAATTTGTGCAAAAAACCATGTAAGTTTAAAAAGCGCGTTGAGCTGTATTTATTTTAGCATAGATATTTATACAAGTGACTGTATATCTAATATATTATATCCAATGAAAAATATTCAAGAATCACAAGACTCGAACAGTCATTTTAACTGTAAGCGCTTTCTGACTTTTAATGGCTCTTCAGACAGTTACAAATTGAATATAAAATTAAATATATGCATATTTTTAAAAACCTTTGAACATGCTGGAATGTCCTTGCAATTTGTCGTAAGCAATCCTTTAAGGTCTTGATCGATCTACTGGTTTTCATGTCAACATCATTCAGCCTTTTCCAAATCTAGTGTGGTAATGATTCATTCTTAAAAATTTATCTGGTTACTATAAAGTTGCATTCAGGGGCAAATCTACTACATACAGAATCATACGGAAGTTCGTTGAGCAAATTAATTTTTTCTTTTCTTAAATATTTTATAGAATTGTCAAGAATCTCAATTTATCGTTATTTACCATAGTCACCACAAAAATATCAATATTGACCGAAGCGAAGGTCAATTAATATTTTTCTGGTGAATAACAAACCATATTCACCATCGAAAGAGTCCAGAATTGTTTATTACACTGTATATAGCCAGGATTTGAAACATTGAAGGCTTCCGGACGATTTCATTTTCACGAACTTACTTCTCATGTTGACGGGTAAAAAATGTCCAGATCACAACCCATACCTTCCGTATTTTCATATTTCTGTATGTATACCGGTAACACAGATATTTTAGGAAATTAATCCTTCTGTAGACTAATACTTGCAAAACATTTTTACCTGCTCATATATTTAACTGGCTCTGACCCCTGTAACTAATTGTTTTCAACGTCGTTTGAGGGATTAGTTGTGACGTCACACTGCCACTCCACGCGCACT